ATATATCTTCGTTTATATCAATGGATGTGGACAGCTGTGGACATACACTCGATTAGAAAAAAATGTTGAAAACTAGGATAGATGAGATATTAAGAACACCAGGGAATTTTTAGAAGCTTGGGACTCAAGTTAATTAGAAATTAACAAACATATCGAAATCGATTTATCGACCAATCGGAAAAATCATGAACAGATATAAAATCAAGAATCAGATCGAAGGGAGATATAATCAAAATGAAGATGCAGATAACGCCAAGTTGAAAGTCAAAAATAACCAATTAAGATTGAAGTCGATAGAACAACCTGTAGATCATATGTGGATAAATTCGAATATTTTACTTCTACCTGAAGTTTTTGCTGTTGTTGAGAAGAAAAATGCAAGCTCTACGACCAAATCATCCATCACAGAGAACGAAAACCCAATAAGATTGTCCACCTAAGCTACAAACCCTTTCCCCCACTTAAAAATTATATGTGCACATACTAGGCATTAGAAGAGCGTAACATTAACAACATAGAACATGATCATTAAAAATTGATGACATGAAATTGTCAATCCATCTGTACATAATGGCCATATGAACGATAACTCTTATTATCATTAATATCGTTATTGATAGTAACAATAATGACAACAATAATATAAATGATAATAATAACAATAATGATAATAATAAATTTCAGTAATCTAGTAGATCTATAGATGTCAATCCACCAACGACAGGAGGAATCAGGATGGCCATCAGACAAATCAAGGGCGGGAAAGCAGCAGGATCCGACAAGGCAAGTTTCCACTCGAGAACTATATTTTCTCCATGAGTGTCTTCGCCAGCATGTTCTACCAACAAGTGTAAGATATAGACCTCCAATCAACTGCCCATTAGGATGGAAAATAGCTTAGCAAAGTGGAAAAATGGTACACCTAATGATAACGGATGCACACTACAGGATCCGCAAATACCAACACGTCATAGAAGACCATAAGATGAAGCTACAAAGGACGCTCACATCAGAACATTTGGAAATCGTGACAACAGCCATCGATATATCATGCAAACGACACAGAGAACAAAGAAGAAACACCTTAAAGAAAAAACTAATCAAGATCTCAAAACCACCCATGGAAGAAAACACAAACAACTACGTGACCAATCTGTCAAAACAACCACTAACAAATACGGAAGAACACCTGCTCCAAAAGGGATTAAACTACAATATAAGTGACGCCTCAAAGCTGGAGTTCTTCGCAGCACTAGAGTCATCACTCAAAACTTCCGGAATCAGTGAAGAAACACAACAGGAAATAAGGCAAACTATAGTACCGATAACTCAACAGGTGAAAGAAAACAACCAACTGACTCCACAAGAACAAAAGGCCTTGAAGGAACTCAGAAATAGAAAGGACATTATCATAATACCAGCGGACAAAGGACGCACCACAGTAATCATGGACAAAGAAGAATACGTCAACAAAGCCGAAGAACTACTCGAAGATAAGAGCACATACAAACTGATGGACACAAATCCCGTCAAAAAATTAGACAACCAAATCTCAAAGACTTTAAACAAGCTAGTCAAAGCAGGAGAAATAATAAAACAAGACCAATGGAGAATGAAATCCAGTGGACCAGTACTCCCTCGACTCTACGGCAGACCCAAAATACACAGACCAAACATTCCACTACGTCCAGTTGTAGCACTACCCGGAACACCAACGTACAATTTGTCAAAAGAAATTTCACCAATACTGAGACATCTAGTAGATTCAGCCAACCACTCCGTCAAATCCCCAACACAATTTCTGGGCCAAATTAAGGATATTCAAATCAACAACGACGAACTCATGATATCATTCGACGTAACAGCACTGTTCACCTCAATTGAACCACAGTTTGCAAAAAAACTATATCCCTGCTGCTCAACAACGACACAAATCTCAATAAATACACGAAACTTCAAATTCAAAGTCTACTGGAACTCATCGATTCATGCTTAAAAACGTATTTTCAATGCAACAACAAAATCTACGAACAAACGAAAGGGACATCAATGGGATCACCAATATCAGGACTGATCGCAGAGGCAGTGATGCAAAGACTAGAAGCCACTATATTACCAGTGATCAAGCCAAAATTTGGATTCGCTATGTAGACGATACCTTCGTCATCGTCGAAAAGAATGAGCTGGAAAAAACTTACAAACTGATCAACAACGTTTTCAATGACATCAAGTTCACAATGGAACAGGAGTCGAACAACCAACTAGCATTCTTGGATATATTGATTACTAGAACCGACACAGGAAAACTGGAAACTCAAGTATATAGGAAACCGACACATACAGATCAAATCCTCAACTACAACAACAACAAGCCAAGAGCTCACAAAGTCAACTGCATACACAATTTGTTCAAGAGGGCGAGGACACACTGCAGCACGAAAAAATGAAGAGAAATACCTGAAAGACATATTTCAAAAGAACGGCTACCCAATCAACTTCATCAAAAAACACCAACCGCACGCAGCATCAGAACCCAAGTCAAGCACAAAAATCAACAAAAGAATCACCCTACCGTACATACAAGGAATATCAGAAACCACAACGAGACTGCTGAAAACCTTAGGGATAGGTGTGGCACACAAACCGACAAAATCACTACGATCAATCCTATGCAAACCAAAGGATGAAATAACAAAGGAAAACAAATCAAACATCATCTACAAAATAAATTGTACCAACTGCGAAAAACACTACATCGGACAAAGCGGACGCCCCCTCCACCTTCGCCTACATGAACATCAATTAGCAGTCAAACGCCATGATATCTCTTCACTTATATCAATACACGTGGATAACTACGGACACTCATTCGATTGGAAAAATGTAGAAATCTTAGACAGAGGAAACTCCAAAAACACCAGAGAATTTTTAGAAGCTTGGCACTCAGGTCAATCAGCAATCAACAAACATATTGAAATTAATCTAATTTATCAACCAATCAGGAAAATCATGCATAAATATAGGAACAAAAATCAAACCAATGGGAGACAACCAAAACAAAGAAGTAAACAATGATAAATTTAAGGTCAATAAGAACCAATCAACATCGAGGTGCACAGAACAAGCTGTGAAACATATGGAGAAATTCGAACACTTCACTTCTATCTGAAGTTTGTGCTGATGATGTCGTTCAGAAGAACGATGAAAGCTCCACGACCAAACCATCCAGCTCAGAGAACAAAACTCTACCAAAAAGGATCCGACAATATACCAGCTGAACCACTGAAGTCAGGCATCGAAGTAACTACAAACATGCTTTACCTTCTATTCAAGAAGATTTGGGAGGAGGAACAAGTGCTGATGGACTGGAAAGAACAGCTCATCAAGATTCCGAAGAGAGGCGATCTGAGCAAGTGTGGGAACTACAGAGGCATCACATTACTGTCAGTACCAGTAAACGTTTCAACAGAGTGTTGCTGAACCGGATGAAAGATTCAGTAGACGCCCAACCTCGAGATCACCAGACCATATTCCCCAGGGATCGGTTGTGCACAGACCAAATCGCAACATTACGGATCATCGTTCAACAACCAGTTGAGTGGATATCGACACTATACATCAATTTTATTGACTGTGAGGAGGCGTTTGACAATGTGGATAGGAGGACTTTATAGAAACTCCTTCGACACTATCAGTGATTAACTGATAAGATCGTTAACATGATCTAGAATTCATGGGAGGCACTAAACTGCAAAGTGGTGCATGGAGGACAGTTGACAGATGCATTGGAAGTGAGGACCGGAGTCAGACAAGGTCTCTTACTCTGCTCCTCCCTCTTTCTCCTGGTGGTTGACTGGATTATGAAGACCTCGTTAGCTGAGAGGAAACACGGAATACAATGGACAGCTCGGAATCAATTAGACGATTTGAACTTCTCAGATGATCTGGCCCTCCTATACCACACACACGAACAAATGCGGATGAAGACAACGAGTGTAGCAGCAGCCCCTGCATCAGTAGGCCTCAGTATACACAAGGGAAAAAGCAAGATCCTGAAATACAACACGGAAAGCATCAACCCAATCACACTTGATGGAGAAACTCTGGGAGAGGTGGAAACTTTCACGTACCTGGACAGCATCATCGATGAACAAGGAGGATCCGATGCAGACGTGAAGGCACGGGTTGGCAAAGCAAAGCCAGCATTTCAACAATTGAGGAACATGTGGAACTCTAAACAACTGTCAACCAATATCAAAGTCAGAATCTACAATACGAACGTCAAGACTGTCCTACTGTACGGAGCTGAAACTTGGAAAACTACTACAACCATCATCAAAACGGTGCAGGTATTTAGAAACAATTGTCTATGTAAGATACTTAATGTTTGTTGACCGGAAAGCATCAGCAGCAGCCTACTGTGGGAGAGAACAAACCAGCTTCAGCTGAAAAGGAAATTATGAAAAGACGCTAGAAGTGGGTATGACATACATTATTGAAATCATCAAGCTGTATCACTAGGCAAGCCCTAACTTGGAATCCTGAAGGGAAGCAGGAAAGAGGAAGGCCAAAGAACACATTACGCTGGGAAATGGAATCAGATATGAAAAGGATTAACAACAACTGGAGTGCAGGAAAGGATTGCTCAGGACCGGGTTGGATGGAGAATGTTGGTGAGCGGCCTATTCTCCTTCACGAGGAGTAACAGGCGTATGTAAGTAAGTAATCTAGTACATGTCAGTGTACGGTTCTTTGAGTTATATTTCTTGTTAGAAAATAATATTATTTAGCTACGTAAACTGAAATTTAAAAGTAGTTCAGTCAGTAACTGTAGAAATTACTAAGAGGTTTGTTTTCTCTACACGATTATCATTATACCCATGCCTTTTCAACATAATAAACTCGTGCTTTGTTAATAAGTTTTCACTTTCAGTTCATAAAAATGTCGTCATAAAATCAAATTCATATAATTCCATAAACAAAACAAAATAGAAACATACCATTTTGAATGTTTTCGAAGATATCATTAGAAATATGTTGATCTTCATTTGATTTAAATCTTTCTAGATTATTGTGACTTATGCTATGAATATTTGCATTAGATTCTAATATGAAATTAGTTTTTCGATAATGTTCATGAATAACTTGACCTAAACCAATAGGTGAACAATCCAATAATGTGAATGCAGTTAAAGATAACAACAAAACAATACATAATAGATATATGAATGTACTGACAGAGAAACGTGGTGGTGGATAAAAAGGGACCACATGAAGTGTATCATTAACTGAAGAAAAAAAATAAATTGAAAGAATCATCAACAGTTTAACAGAATTGTTTATTTTATTATTAAGAAAATGTATGCCAATATCTCGATACATATTTGTTAGTATGTTTGTGTTATTTCAATTCAACATATTTTCGCTAAATATAAAAAACATTACACTTGTAGTGTCTAGTACTATGTCAAGTTCACATAGGTTATTTCAGCTTTCAAATAGACCATTGATTTATAATTAGACCTTATCAATTATTACTGACCTTGACTGTTTTTACATGAGCGTATTCGTATTGCTTACCTTATTCATCACATGTCTTCAGCTTATTTTCGTCTGAGCATAAATAGTGAGTCGCGTTTTATCAAATTGGATTGACACATTGCCTTCATTTTACCACTTCTCACCTTTAATATCTGTCTGAATAAACGAATTCCTGATATAAATTTATTAAACTCAATCCGTATTTGACCTATTATTACACCGTCGCACAAACAAGGTTAACCTAGGTGTAATATACGAAGTTAAATGGAAGGTTTATATCTATGGCGTATTTAAAACGTGACTCAAGAAGAATAGACAAATTAGTCCATCCGGAAGCTAGAATAACCTATATAGGCTAGATACAGTACTAGACACTACAAACTAACCGTTAACATTAATAACTAATAACTAGGAAGTAATCCCGTGGTTAAGGCATTTGACTTTCAAACACTAAGTTGCAGGTTCAAAACCTACCTGGTATTATCTAAGTGGCCCTTCCTCTAATAACTAAAATGCGGCTTGAAGCCAAGTAAACGAATATGTAACCGGTAACTAAATGATAATAATTATTTTTATTATTATGGCTATGAGAAAACTTAAGAAATAACAAAATTGGTTATTATATCAGCACAAAATCAACATAAAAACAGTCCTGTTAACTGATTTATCTATGTATCCAGCTCCTTAATTAACATAATCAACTTAGCCTGACAGTTCAATTACGAGTCAAACAGTAGGGTGATAATAACTGTTAGTGAAAGTGAATGAGGTAAATTCGAGCCCCAAAGAGATCGATTTTTTCAAAATAACAAATACATCTTGCTTGTAAGATCCGACTAACATGAAGCTTAAGTCCAAGGCTCTCCACTGAATCTTCGCAATTATTTAACATCACAATAGTGCATAAAATAACGAGTCACTCAGTCTGTTGGGTACATTAAAACCTGATTGATAAAATTCGATCACACTTAGGGACTAGACAACATAACATAGCTTATTACCCAATGATTAGTTAGTTTAAACATTGCTATTGTGAAAGGGGGAGGATTCTAAACTCAAAAACTATGATTTACTTGTGATTAATAATCATGACAGTTAAGTGAAGGGTTCTGTCGCCACGTTGACAAGTACGCTATCTATCAGTCGGCTACATAAGATTTCCACTATAAGAGGATGAATGCCATTTGTTTATTTCGATTATTCACAGTTTTCATTAACTAAAGTGATATCAGCAGATTATGTATGGATCAGTAATCATAAAATGAGTAAAGTACACACTAATGAAATAACCATTTCATCCAAATACAAAAAAATTATTAGCACCAACAATAACATAGATGTAATATCATTTTAAACTTTGTCAGACAATTAGTTGTATGCATATGGAATGTTAGATAAAAAGAAAATCATACTAATTATACCTGTTTTATTGATACATTCCGGTTCTGACCCAACTCCTTGAATAAGGGCTAATATACTTGGAACTAAATCACTAAATGCTTCACCGAAATGTAATGCACCTACATACAATTGAGGCATTCCATTCAAATAGGTAATAAATGTAACCGATGATGTACAATCAACAATTGAAGCAAACAAAGCTAAAACAAATAATCCAATACTATGGTAACCGGGTTTTAATATTGATACATAAGCTACCGACTAAAAATAAGGAAAAAAAGATGACAAAAAAAGTATGATGATGAAACGAAGATATACATACTGAGTGAATTGATATTAAGTATTACATTTATTTTTAAAAAAAACGACAATTCATTTAACTACTGATGTGAATCAACACTCTAATTACTCAGTTTCAACAAGTGAGTTGAGGGTTAAAACTTATTCTTTTTGCTAATGTTAAACGAAAAATGCAGACAAGCACAACTCAATACGAAATAATAAATAAATTGCTATATTTTAATGACCACTATATACAGTGATTATATTATCTTTGAGTAATTAAATTTACTGAATGCCCGATTATAATTGATGCGTTCTTCTTCCGTTTACCATTTCTTGAAGAATATACATCACTCAATTCTATCCAAATCAAAACAAGAACCAAAGAGGACAATATATTTCTCAATAAACTCAAACAACAAAAGCATTAGAGCTTAAGTATATAATGTACATAAAAATATTCTAGCATTTTCTCGATTCATTCGCTGACACTGATTAATTAAAAAATACATTAGTTAGTGTATACTGATATGATTCTGACCACAATATTCAATAGTTAGGACTTTATTCAACAAACAATAATGGTAAAAGTTGATGTAAACATTAAATACTAAAGTAGAGCTCGAACTTTTAATCTGATGAATTAAAATCGATTATCTAAACCGATCAGCTAGAATCACAATTAAATAAAGACACAATTACAAAGTTAACTCAAGAGATAATTAAATATTCAGAAATTTTGATGAGTAATTTGTGGCTTTTTATGGGTCACATACAAGAATTTGTACCAAAATGTGCTATTGTATATTTTAATAGGTCATTGGAAACTGTGAAAGTGGTAACACAGTATTTTATTTTCTGTTTTAGAAATGACTGTAAGTTCAACTCTCTCATTTTCATTACCCATATAGAAGCAGGATCACTTCGGTCATTGAAGAAGCGAAAACAATTAGCAATAAGTGGCAAAAAAAATAATGACCATATCAAAATAACTTTATCATTAAATATATTGATTCACAAAATATGAATTTAGAAGCTTGTAAAGTAAAGATAGAAATCCTAAAGTTTAGGAACTGTCATAAATTGTTTGCTAAGGATAAAATAACAAACCATGTAAAAATGTTACAAACATCCATTTAAAGACTTTGGGTTTAGAAAAAATGTTTGCATTAGGTAAAAAGCAACCAAATGCATAACCTGACAAGTGACTATATTCAAAAAAGAATAAGTAAATTTTCTCACTCAAAAATAATTATCTATACTTCGCTTCATAAAATGTAGGATTGTATCAAACGTGAATCATATTAATTTGAAAGATTTGAGTATTGACAGAATTATAACACAAAGAATGCCCATATTGGAAAATTGAAAAAATAAGCTGATAATATGATAGATATACCAGAAGAGATAAACACAGTGTTATCTTGGAAGTTGATACACTTGTATACCGACTCAAGTGACTATAATTTTTATCAACATAAAGCAAAGAAGGCAACGGTTGTGAAGCGCGGTGTCCAAGATTTGATACTGATACTCAATTTTATTATACACGAGCCCAGCTAGTTATTAGTGAAAAGACGGAGAGTGAGAACGTTTATAACCGAAAGAATGAAAATAAGTCAGTAAGATGAAGATTATAACGTACAGAACGCAAAAGTACTCCAATTCAAAGAAAGCTGAGCAGTGAATGTGCCCACATCACTTGATCCGTTGTTTCACTAAATGACTTTCCCAGACTGCTTAGTCAGGAAGACAACATGATTACTTACATGACTTAAACCAACTTCTTAAAACTTAGTATATTGATCTGACATATATTTATCTGGTCACTGAACATTTTTCGCCCTACTTCAACTCCAAGCAGCATAATGACTTAAATTTGATGATACAGCGTACAAAGTGTATCTCAATCAATGATTATACTACACAACTTCACCAAATAAGTATCACATTTTATCTAAAAATATACATCTGCATAACCCACTACTCGTTAAATTTACTAAACATAAGAGATCTGCTGAAGGTGTCTGTAAATTAACAGTTGTGACACATTTAGACACTTTTCAACCGCTAATTAGGTACCATGAACTGCTGCTACCTTGACGCGGTGGTCGGGCTTGCCTATCGTGATGACCCAACCGAGCTATATTGGCTGGAACATATGTTCCTGTAGGTTCTACCATGCCAGGCAGGTCGATTGGAGAACGGTAAGACTAAAAGCAGCAACTCAAGGTCTGAGGGCGAAGTCGTACTGCTGACTGTAGAGGGTGTGACAGCAGTAAGGTGTTTCCCTCGGACAACCAGCATGACAGCGATGCTGCCTTCCCACAAGGAGGGGTGGGGTTAGAAAAGGTCGACCCTAAAAATGTCACACCTCACCTTACCTCACGGATTTCCGTCTCCGGCGGTAAGGCCCTTTGAAGAACGGAGCTAACACGTCAAAAACCTTCCACAAAAAGGCCGTGCGCGACCGGCCTCAAGCAGTTGTCCCTTGGGCTCTGCGGTCACGCTCCCAGGTCGTCAAGACCAACACTAATCCAATTTCCTTTTCAGGTTCCTCAAGAAATACCCTTCCACGGTGTGGGCAGCCGGGAAGTGACATCAGCCCTCATACCCGTAACAGCACAAGAGACCAAGGTGGTCACATTCAAATCCTTCCTACACCTCCTAATACCTCTCTTATCTCCATGACTAACCCTCCTCACGTCTCTTTATCACCTCGCACCGCTAGGGCAAACGATTCGAGTACGTGGAACGCCATTCCTGGTCTCCTGAAACCACGCTCTAAACTACACGTAGGAGCTTTTAACGTACGAACACTTTGCCAAATAGGACAGCAGGCTTCCTTAGCTAAAACTTTAGAATCTCGCGCCATCGATGTGTGCTGCGTCTCCGAAACGCGCATACAGGATCCGAGTAGCGTCATTCATTTGACCTCACCATGCCAAAATAAAGAACCGACTCGATTTACGCTTCGTGTATCTGGAAGCCCTGATTCTGCTTCCCGTGGCCTCGCCGGCGTAGGTATAGCATTGAGTCCTAGGGCAGAACTAGCTCTCTTAGAGTGGATCCCAGTAGACAGTCGTTTGTGCGCTGTCCGACTGAACGGAACAGTAAGAATCCGGAAAGATAGGGACACTCGTCGTTGCCTCTTCGTCGTCTCTGCCTATTCTCCCACTGACTGCAGCTCAGATGATGTAAAAGATGAGTTTTACAGAAAGCTTTCGGACCTTCTCCGAAAAGCTAGGGCTCGGATGTAGTAATAGTGGCCGGTGACTTTAATGCTCAAGTAGGTAAACTAAGCGATAGGGAAAGACACCTAGGTGGATCTTATGGTGTCGTGGCTCAAAGAACAGATAATGGCGACCGTCTGTTGCAGCTATGCTCAGATAACCGCCTGTTCCTTGCAAATACTAACTTTAAGCATAAGGAAAAACATCTTTTAACATGGCGACCCCCTAATTCGTCCCAACGTTGGACCCAAATAGATCACATCGCTATCAGCCACCGATGGAGGGGCTCGATAGAAGACTGTCGCTCATTCTGGAGAATTCAGATCATGCTCTAGTGCGAGCGCGTATTTGCTTGCGTCTTACTGGACGTAGGAAAGACGCTGCAAGGAAACCTCTTAGGGCCTACTTAATGATAGTCAAGCTAAGAGTATATTTCAGGAACAACTAGGAAAACAGTTAGGCAGCCATGTATGTGATGCCCACCCCGATGCAGCATGGAATGATATCCGAAAAGCTGTGGAAACAGCAGTGATATCTGCTAGTAAGGTAAACCAGAAGGTTAGGGAGCAACACTGGATCTCAGCAGCATCTATCGCACTGATAGATGCTCGGAAACTCATTCCACCTGGCTCTGAACATAATGAAGAGCGGAGTCAGCTTAAGCGCAAGCTGACAAGAAGTCTACGCAATGATCGCGAACAGTGGTGGGTAGCGAAAGCAAGAGAGATGGAAAAGGCAGCGGCAATAGGTAATAGCAGACAATTGTTCAGACTCGTTAAGGAAACCGGAATTAGGAACCCGACCGTTAGCGAAACAATCTCAGAGAAAGATGGACATATTATTCATTCTCAATCCAGGAGATTGGATCGATGGGCAGAACACTTTAGGGATCAGTTCAACTGGCCTTCAGCCACACTTCGGTTTCCCACGATCTCTAGTCAACCTGAATGGCAAGTTAATGTAGGTCCTCCGTCCCTTTACGAAGTTGAAAAAGCCATAGGAAATCTGAAACGAGGGAGAGCAGCAGGCCCTGACAGGTTTACTCCTGAGATTTTTAAGGATGGTGGTCCAGTATTAGCAATGAGATTAACTGAGGTCTTAGGTAGAATTTGGGAACTGGACGTAATCCCATCTGACTGGTCTCAATCACTGATTGTGCCAGTCTATAAGAAAGGACAAAAGTCCTCTTGTGACAATCACAGAGGAATCAGTTTGACTAATATAGTGTCTAAAATATTAGCTTCAATAATACTTCGACGCCTAACAAAGCTCGTGAAGAGCAGATTAGAGAAAACCAGGCCGGTTTTCGACCTGGACGTGGTTGTATAGATCAGATATTCACACTACGTCAGGTTCTAGAACACAGACACACATTCAGACGCCCCACAATGGTAGTATTTCTCGACCTTAAGGCGGCATTCGACTCTGTTGATCGTGAGGTTCTATGGCAGTACCAAAGAAGTACATTAACCTTATAAAGGCTCTCTACTCGAACACAACTGGTCGAGTGAGAGCTTATGGCGAACTGTCATCAGAATTGATTACCTCAAGTGGTGTTCGTCAGGGCTGTCCACTCTCCCCATTCTTGTTCAACTTTGTTTGACGTACTTTTAGAGATAACACTCTCCTCATCTAAATTTACAGGGGTTGAACTTCTACCGGGAGGTTCACTTGTTGACTTAGAATATGCTGATGACATAGTTTTATTTGGTGAAGACGCTGACAAAATGCAGAGTCTTCTGACCACTCTAAGCAACAATGCAAGCATGTTCGGGATGCGATTCTCCCCCTCGAAATGCAAAATGTTGCTTCAGGATTGGGTTACATCGACACCCGAACTAATGATAGGGAGTGAAGTAGTTGAGTGTGTCGACCGCTTCACTTATCTTGGAAGTCTCATCAGCCCTTGTGGTCTGGTGTGTGACGAAATCTCAGCACGGATACAGAAGGCTCGACTAGCTTTTGCCAACTTGCGTCATTTATGGCGTAGGCGAGATATCCGTCTATCAACCAAAGGACGGGTTTACTGCGCAGCAGTTCGTTCCGTCCTACTTTATGGCAGTGAAACATGGCCGGTAAGAGTAGAGGATAGTCGTAGGTTACTAGTATTTGATCATAGGTGTCTTCGAAACATTGCTCGTATATCATGGGACCATCGAGTAAGTAACACAGTTGTTAGGAAACGGGTACTAGGTAAGGATGGCAAATCAATTGATGAAGTAGTGAAACTTCATCAGTTGAGATGGCTGGGACACGTGTTACGTATGCCCAACGACCGACTGCCTCGACGTGCTATGTTCAGTGGTATAGGAGTAGGTTGGAAGAAAGCTAGGGGCGGCCAAACCAAAACATGGCACAAGTCCATGAAGTCACTGACAAGTGGACTGAGTCATGTTGGTAGGTGTAGACTACCTGGTTGGGGACCGCGAGATGATAGCAACCGATGGTTAGAGACCCTGAATGACATGGCTCAAAATCGTTTGCAATGGCGCAGGTGCATCCACTCTCTGTGTTCTCCCAAATTCTAATCTTCTGAATTCTTCATGTCCCTTTTTCTCCTCTTTCCAAATTTCTTTCACTGGATTATACTCTTTAAATAACATCTCCAAACCCTAATCTTCCCGATTACTGCTTATACTCTTATTACCTCTACCACTACGGGATTTGAATCGACAACTGCATCTCTGTGCTAATGTGGTGTGGCAACTCGAACTGATGTACGTACGTACGGAGTTCTACGTTGTTACTGACTAACTGACTGACTGACTGGTTAGTAGAGTTGACTATTAATCAACATTAGGTTATGGTACTGCATTCATAGATGTTGCAAAAATTCATAGTAAGAACTTATCCTGAAACAATGTTCTGTATTTACGAGGTCAAGACAAAAGTGAACTAAAATGGGAAATGGATATCTCCGACAAAAAGCACCAGACGTAGTTACTTATAACATTATCAGTAAAGTGTTCCAAAGAGAATGTCAATTAGGTAAACTAATAATGTTAGTAAATTGATGAGTTTTTAATGGGGTCAAACAAAACTCGTAAGGGTTAGTTTTCCTTGATTATCAACAAAATTCTAGTGATGAATTCAGACTGAATCTAGGTAGCATGTTGTTACATAATACATTGAGATGGCAACTTAAATTATTGTCTACACAACCATATACCACCTGATATTTTTTTCTTCTTAAAGGTGAAACAGTACTTCAAACTATCAGCACGACTAAAAAAACAACACTTCGAATGTCAGTAGTGAAGGTGAAAACAGCTTTAATTTCCTCGACTCTCCAGAAATTCTTGGTCTAAGAGGTCTGACGAATAAAAAATATATGTGTAATTTTTTTATAGCATTATGAGCATGACATCACAATTTTGCGACTCTGTTTGCTCATCCCAGAATATGTCATTCAATTTGTGTTGTGGGATGGTGAGTCATTGACTGATATCTTCCCCTCCATTTTCATTAAGTTCTTATACTTATAAAAGCCTTTCTGTGTTTCAATAAGTTATTTCATTCGATTTATCACAAACCATTATGACGAAATGAACAGATGTATATCTGTGCCAAATTTTAAGCCATTAGAAATAATTCAAAATTAAATACTAATCAAAGGAATGCAACGTTAACTTAACTATTAACTGACACCGCCAACTAAAAGGCATACATGTGCATAGAAAAATTAACGAATTTTCAGTTAGAATAATTATCATGCAGTTGAAACTATTCGAGACAATAAACGACAAACTAATTCATATCAAATTATTTCGAAACTGATAAGGTAAATTTATGTATCAATGCCCAGGTTGAACGTGATAGTTTTAAATAAATTGAGTATTGGGTAGAAAGCTCATAATAAATATTTTGATATATCCCAATGACTAGAAAATTGTATTTCTGACGTTTCATGACTTAATGTAAGTCACTTCTTCAGAGTAAATAAATAACCGAATTAAATTAACAAAAGTTTAAATAGTACAAAGGAGAAATGGGGAATATCTGTAGTAAAATCAAAATCGCAATAGGTTTAAACATGTCAAAGTCATGTTATTTTGGTCAAGATGATTCTCTATGACATATCAATTTGTGTGTAAGAAGGTTTCTTCAGTAAGACAATAACAGCTCCATGCATGTTTGTCAACATTTTCCAACGCATAGTTCAATAAAGATCTGCAGTTTTCTTGATAATCAAGAGATAAAATATATCTAAATCTAGTGAACATAACAGTACTTACGTTCCAAAACTGCGAAATCAATACGCATGATATTAGACCGACGGCAAGTATTAAATAGTTGGCTAGCCTTTCAGGTGGTTGTAAACAACGTGAACAAAATCCATTTGTTTTAGCTTGGAAAAATTTTGTCAACGGAACATAGATCATTGGTCCCACATTTGCTATCTGGTAATGTATAAACAAGAAAAATGTGGAATATCTGTACTTAAGGACAAACAGACAATGTAAAGATGTGGAAAAATAAACAGTTAGATTCTACTCCTCCATACGTCATTCAGGCAACCACATTACTAGTAGCACGCACGTTTTTATACGGTTTAAACAGCTACGAAGTGTTTCCTGGCAGTCGACTACGCAGACGAATATTATATCTACTGTGCAATACTCCCTTTGGTAATAATAATATGAGTGTCCTACAAACATTCTTCTTAATTGTAAAATTGTTTCTAGGGAAACTATGGGTGGTGTTCGCATCATAGAATTATACTATGTTAACAAGGCTAACGAGATCAGAAAGTGTCGGACAGTTGCTTCATTTTATTTGGGATTTTTCAATAGTTTACTTATCGTTCTTCCCAGGATATTATTCAGGATTTTGACGTCCCGCAATTTGTACATTGGTTCTGATCAACTGAGTTTAAAACCAATCGTTAAAATTTCCTAAAATTAAACTACTTTACTAAGCAATTGTGATAATGAAGTATCAGTCATCATATAAAAATTCTGGGAAAGAAAAAAAAAGAATTTTATTCTCATCATAGGTTACAAGATTTTTATGTCGAGGGAAGCCATTTGATTGCTAAAACGACTAGCTGAGATCAGGATTCGAATGAAGATTATGGCATGGGACATGGAGACAGTAGAAATATAAAAGAAAATTCATATAGTATGAAACCAACTAAACTGGACTATTTGGATAAATTCAGTCTTCTCATATAGAGTAAACCCTAAAGTTAAAATTGGTAATTAGACACAGTAAACTCTTTGTGAAGGTTTGTATGAAGTACAGATTCTCATAAACGGAAGAGAGCCTATTATTAGATGTTTATTTTCATAAAGAGAGAAAAATCCCTGATACAGTAGTAACTGAAAGACTAATTTCGGCAACCAAACGTTATCTTAACTTTGTATGTAGCTTTATGTGCATTTAAAGGCAGTACCGTGTTTCCAACACAAATCACAGGAGATCAGAAACGTGACAAATACCTATGTCCTTGACGGAATGGCTATCTACAGTAATAAAATAACAAACGATCTATGAAGTTCCAGGGTCTCTATTGTAACTAATTTACAAAATCTTTTGGTAAATTAGCCTAAGCTATAGGAGTTCTAAACAAATCACCTGATAGGTGAGATTTCGCGAAAATGATAGAGTCAGAAAAAATAGCTGGTACCGTCTGGCACTTCACGAAGTGTTGGGAGACTTAAAAACTCATAACATGAAAATCAGACCAAAGTAACCATCAGAAAACGCTACTAGGATAAGGCACCAATCCGCAAATCCTTAAAAAGTAATGATTGCGTAAAGCTGATAAAAACACCGGTGAAATACACTGTGATTGAAATTCTTAGTATATATATTAATGACTTTTTTTATTTTATTCGATTAGAGGTCATACGTCCGAAAGTAAATACCTATAACGTTGATCTGAAATTCTCGTTATTTTATTTTCTTATTATCAGCCATGGACATTCATGAGGGCTTAACAAAAAACAATAAATATTGCGTAAAATAACCTGTGAAGGATATTAACAAATATATTTATGCATGTAGATTATGATTTTGAGTAGTGCTATAAGAAGCATAAAGATGAGTTGAAGACTTTGGTAATATTTAAAGCCCTTATTTCGTTATTTTCAATTTGATATTAACATTTAACACCGATAAATCTAGGTAGTATTCGCATATACATTATCTATAAAGTACTTGTATAATGATTATCAGGTAAGCAGGCAAACTCCAACCTTCTGGTAGAACATTGACCAATAACGGTAGTTCAACCCATAATCCATTAACAACAATCCATGATCCTAGACCATATAAACTGACAAGACAAGCTGCAAGCCATGTGAACTTTATGTCATTTTTTGATGGGACCATGCTAAAATGCGGAAATAAAGCTATGTGCAAATATATTTAAGAAAACTAAATAACATTAACATCATGAATAGAGATTAATTTTAGCTGTTAAACAAATAATTATTGGAAGAATAAATAATTACAAAATCAAGGCAATTTAAAAATCATTTGATATTGGAGTTTTTAAAGTTTATGTAGATAACTAACATTCACTCGAAAAAAAAACATTACGAGTATTGGAGCAACCTCAAATAATAATGACCCAAATTTAGAGAACGTTCCATCAAAGATAAAATTCTGATGCAGACTTGCACCAATTTAACTCAGATAAATTTTAATGTGCTAAATGCACCAATTTTTACGTTGCACTAAAAATGAATATCTTAGTGCATAAATGTTGTTTTTATCATTTGAACTAACGTGATGGCAAATAATAACCAAAGCAATCCATGAGGCTTTTTATGATCGAGTTAGTCTCAAGAAGTAAAAACGCTGAAAATTACTTTCTAAAGAGTTGCGGCTACTAAACTATCAGGAACAAAAAAAATCAATATTACTAACAAACTATTCTTTTCATCAACAGTATGTATATGTTTTACCACTCATAGTGGGCTCGCGATAAAAGTAAAAGATGACCTGAATCCTTCGACTTGTACATGTGTTTATGAATTTAATTGCTTTTGTGGAAACAGCTACATAAAAAATTCAGTAACTTCATCGTTACCATCCAGAATATTGTTGTGTGACCAGAAAAAGAAACAATTAAATACATGAAAATTTCAATACACTGATTCAGTGGACACAACATAAAATCTATAAAAGCTTGGTATTCGACATTATGGATAGAATGTCAATGAAGCTTTCAAAATTTGTGTATCTCCACTTACTAAGTACATCGGAAGCAATATGCACCAGAAATTAGTAATAAAATTTATGCATACGAAGTCATTTTCTTGGATTCCATCCTTTGTACAGTATATATTTATTGCCCCCCAAAAGCTGGTATGGCTGAGTGGGGTGGACTCGCCCTCCCTCTCAAAATGCTCTCACACGGCCACGCGTAGACAGCCTCTGGCAGGGAAGTCCTACTCACTGCCTTCTCGTGGCGGAATTTTTGTCTGCGAAAAGAAGAGAACGAAAAGCGAATATCCGGCACTTTAACCGGATCCCAAACAAAATCAATGGTGCACATGGGCTCCAGTATGTTGCAGTAACAAATGGCGTGTGAATCGATTGTTGGTCAACGGCTACCATGAGACTGCATCTCCTCACGATGCTCCCCTGTCTTAGGTCAAAGACTTGGGGTATGGCCCCCTAAGAAAACCACCTGCTTCGGTCTGGGCACCCGGGCAGTATCACAGCCCACACACAAATGATGAACTGTCTATAATTATGGAAACTACTTTTCTTGCTTCAACTAACAGTCAAATGATTCAAATTATTATTATTATCACTACTATTGTTATTATTATTATTATTATTGTTGTTTACTACATCATTATTCATCCTCTTTTATTCCTACTCTGTCTATACTCACTTTCTCGACTTATACAGCAGCTCGTTTATGGTAGAAATTCGACTCTATCTAAACGTTCTCGAGTCACTGTCCGGTTGAAAATTGTATGCTACCACCGAATATGAGTACTGAAGCAGTTTTTCTGAAGCCACGTGCACCATTCAAACTAGCTACCTTCAACGTTCGCACACTTATGCAGGTTGGACAACAGATAGGGCTGGTTATGTCTTTGGAAAGTCTTAATATCAACGTTTTTGTCTATCCAAGACTCGTATTCCAGACTGTGGTGAAGTACTACAAATTCGCTCTCGATCTGTCGCTTCGAAAAGCTTGTTTTACGTGCGATTATCCGAGGATCCTGTGGCATCTTCGTCTGGTCTTGCTGGCGTTGGTGTCGCACTGAGCGCTAGAGCTGAGGCAGCACTAATCGAATGGATCCCCATTAACAGTCGGTTATGTGCTGTTAGATTAGAAAGTTCCATCAAAGTGAGAAACGATGTCTTTTCGTCATCTCCGCCTATGCCCCAACAGATTGCAGCCGGGATGCAATCAAGGATGAGTTTTACCACCAGTTATCTGTTCTTCTCCAGAAAGTGCGTTCGACAGATATTGTAGTACTAGCCGGAGACTTGAATGCTCAGGTCGGGCGTCTAGGCACAGAAGAGAGTCGTTTAGGTGGCCGATGGGGACTTGTTGGTCGCAGGACAGATAACGGGGACCGTCTACTGCAACTGTGCACAGACCACAACCTGTTTCTGGCTAGCACTAACTTTCGGCACAGTCATCGCCGATGTGCCACCTGGCGTCCTCCCTCTGCATCCCAAGCCTGGACTCAGATTGATCACATCGCGATCAGCTACCGCTGGCGTGGTTGTGTACAAGACTGCCGCTCCTTTTGGAGTACCTATCTGGACTCTGACCATGCCTTGGTCTGCGCCAATCTTACCTTACTTTTCAGTGGACAACGAAGTGACCGCCACCAACAGATTGATGTTAGCAAGCTGGTTGCAACTTCTGTTGCAAGTAAGTATCGAACCGAGCTAGCCTCTAGGCTAGCTACCACTCCACCGAAAAGTATAGATGAGCATTGGTTGCAATTGCATGACGCCATGAAAATGGCGGGAACAGTCAGTTGTGGGTTTGCGAAACGTCCCGTTTTTAAGCACTGGGTTTCTTCAGGTTCCTTACAACTCATTGAAGCCCGTCGGTCTACTCCGGGTGACCGTGAGTTTGACCACAAACGAAGGATGTTACGTAAGGAAATTGGGCAAAGCTTGCGTAAGGACCGAGAAGCCTGGTGGTGGTTGAAGCGTGCTAATGAGCTGGAAGCAGCAGCTGCATCTGGTAACTACCGGAAGCTCTTCCAACTCATCCGAGCCACTGGCAGCAAGAAGTCTGGTGTGAGTGAAACAATCTGCGAGGATGATGGGATGCCAATCACTAACATCCATCGACGTCTTGGACGATGGGCAGAGTTTTTCGAAGGGCAGTTCAACTGGCCTGCTGCTCCGGCAACATCGGTCAGACTGTCCTGCCCTCCATGGCCGGTGACGACTGATCCACCAAATGAGGCGGAAGTCCGCAAGGAACTCCAACTCTTGAAGCGTTACAAATCACCTGGCCCAGATGACTTACCTCCGGCTCTTTTTAAAGATGGTGGTGACTTTTTGACTAAGGAATTGACGGTGTTGTTTACAAAGGTTTGGGAACTAGAGAGTGTACCAACGTCATGGAATGAGTCGATAGTTGTCCCTATCTTTAAAAAGGGTTCACGTCGTTCCTGTAACAACTATCGGGGGATAAGTCTACTTCCGATTGCGTCCAAGCTATTGGCTTCCGTCATACTTCGTAGGTTGTTCAAAACCCGAGAAAGATTGACTCGCGAGGAGCAGGCTGGGTTTCGTTCTGGTCGAGGATGTATTGATCATATCTTCACCCTCCGCCAAATGTTAGAACACCGCCATACTTATCAAAGGCCAACAATCGTAGTGTTTCTTGACATCAGGGCTGCCTTCGATTCGTTGGATAGGACTGTTCTCTGGGATTGTCTATTGAAGAAGGGTGTGCCTGAGAAGTTTATTAACATCCTAAAAGCCCTATATACAAACACCTCAGGCAGAGTGAGGGCATACAACCACCTTTCTCCATTGTTCCATTCGAGCAGTGGGGTTAGACAGGGTTGCCCAATCTCACCATTCCTCTTCAACTTTGCCATCGATGACATTCTGGAAACAGCTCTGATGGATGTAAGTAATGGTGGTGTGGATCTGTTGCCTGGAGAAAGACTTCTCGACCTTGAGTATGCGGACGATATTGTCTTACTGTGCGATAATGCCCAAGCCATGCAATCCGCACTTAATCAGTTGGCAATCAGTGTCCGTAGGTATGGTATGTGCTTTGCACCTTCGAAGTGCAAAGTACTTCTACAAGACTGGCAGGATCCTAATCCTGTACTCACCCTGGATGGTGAGCAGATAGAAGTAGTCGAGAAGTTCGTGTATCTGGGTAGCTGCATAAGTGCTGGTGGTGGCGTGATTGATGAGATCAATGCACGTATGGTGGAAGCCAGAGCGGCTTATGCCAATCTGGGCCATCTTTGGCGCCTTCGTGATATTAGTCTGGCTGTAAAAGGTCGGATCTACAACGCGTCAGTGAGAGCAGTTTCGCTTTATGCTTGTGAAACCTGGCCTCTCCGAGTTGAGGATGTTAGACGACTCTCTGTGTTTGATCATCGTTGTTTCCGAAGGATTGCTGACATCCAGTTGCAACACCATGTTAGTAATGCAGAGGTTCGGCATCGTGTGTTCGGGCACAGAGACGATAATGCAATTGGTGTCACCATCTTGAAACACCGACTTCGGTGGCTTAGACATGTTCTACGAATGTCATCCCAGAGAATCCCACCTCGTGCATTATTTTCTGACTCTGGGACTGGTTGAAAGAAGCGGAGAGGTATTCAGTGTATGACATGGTGTCGTGGTATGAAAGGAAGTTGCAAAGGGCTGGATTGTGTTCGTCCTTCATGACTCCCTGGCTAGGGTCCTAGAAATGGTGAGATACAGTGGCTAGAGACGTTATCGGATATGGCTCAGAATCTAACAGCACATAAACAACCGATTGTTAATGGGGATCTATTTGATTAGTGCTGCATCAGCTCTAGCGCTCAGTGCGACACCAACGCCAGCAAGACCAGACGAAGATGCCACAGGATCCTCGGATAATCGCACGTAAAACAAGCTTTTCGAAGCGACAGATCGAGAGCGAATTTGTAGTACTTCACCACAGTCTTGAATACGAGTCTTGGATAGACAAAAACGTCGATATTAAGACTTTCCAAAGACATAACCAGCCCTATCTGTTGTCCAACCTGCATAAGTGTGCGAACGTTGAAGGTAGCTAGTTTGAATGGTGCACGTGGCTTCAGAAAAACTGCTTCAGTACTCATATTCGGTGGTAGCATACAATTTTCAACCGGACAGTGACTCGAGAACGTTTAGATAGAGTCGAATTTCTACCATAAACGAGCTGCTGTATAAGTCGAGAAAGTGAGTATAGACAGAGTAGGAATAAAAGAGGATGAATAATGATGTAGTAAACAATAATAATAATAATAATAATAATAATAATAATAATAATAATAATAATAGTGATAATAATAATAATTTGAATCATTTGACTGTTAGTTGAAGCAAGAAAAGTAGTTTCCATAATTATAGACAGTTCATCATTTGTGTGTGGGCTGTGATACTGCCCGGGTGCTGAGACCGAAGCACACAATCACTCGCTATTCTTTACCAAACCGTTCAAAAGCTGTAGGTGTTAGATTCGTGGAAACTTTGTGGAACCACCCTTTGCACTCATCGCACTGTATTTCACTTCCCACAGGGTATCGACAGCTCATGCGTTAGTAATCTCTTTTCGGATTGTTCAGCCATCAACCAGAGGTTTTCAAATGAATAAGACACAAGAGGACACGCGGAGACAAGAACCGACAACCAGAAGGAAAGTAAAAAACCATTAACTGTTAGATCCAAAAATGCAACAAAAAAAGAGAAATACACTCTTAAGAAAGTACAGATGATTGCTTACTTTCAAGGAAAAACGATACTATTGATGTTACTTTAGCTAAAATAAATTCAATCAAAAAGAGAACAGTGGTTTCGATGCATGATAAACGATAAAAACTATAAATTTAGCTCAGCGAGGAAGAATACTACTGTCCTTTTTAAAGCAGAGGTTACGGTTGTTCAATGCAGAGAAGCCCTCCACAGAATACTGATCAATGGATAATCAGCTGCGAAAGTAACGAAATAAATTTGATTACTAGTCGCAGATACTAACCAACAAAACATATTAACGACATTAGGCACTTTGTATGAAGGGAAGTCAATGTCGTTTTACGAACTATATTCTAGGTTGTTCAGACAACCCTAAATTTATGTTGATGCTACTCTAACAATGTTTCATGTCATCCAGACAGTGTACCTGACTATTGCATTAGGTGGGCGTAGGTTATCATGACCTAAGAAACAGAATCTAAGCAGTCTCCACAAAATTATGAACCGACTGGCTTTAGAAAATTATCAATAAAACCATTATGACTCTCCTTAAAACCCAATGCTTGTAAGACGGTGATCAGTATGACTTTAGTAATGGTAAGTCATGCAAGAAGGAACTTTACTTGCGGGCTGGTCAGCAAGAAATTGGATTAACTTTATAGGTTTGGACGAATTTCCTGACACTACGGATATTGGATCCGGAAGGCTTAAAGACTGCCAGATACCCACGTAGACAGGCTAGAGCTTTCGTAGTTAGCAGGCAACACAGACTAAGATCATCTAACAGAAGACAACAAATGAAGGAACACACAAAAATAGACTAAGACGGGACCACTACTAATTGAAATAATTTAACTTGTAAACACATCCACAGTCAGTCAGTCAGCTACAACGTAGGACCAGGTACATATATTTCAGATTCAGATTTGTGTAGTAAGGACAGAAGGCCTATGTTATTCCTTTTCTAGTATGCTTCTGTGAGTATCCAGTCTTTTCTTGAAAGAGTCAACTGAAGGTGCGGACACCACTGCTTCAGGCAGCAGGTTCCAAGTATTGATGACTCGGTCCAAGTTGCCATACCTCATTAAGTCTTCAGTAATAAGGATAGTAGGTTGATGAACTTGTATTAATCCTGACACATTGCTTTCCAGTGAAGGTCCAGCTTCTCCTTGAAAGTATTCACTGATGGGGCTGATACCACTTGTTCGGGTAAGGCGTTCCAATGATTGACTACTCGATGAGAAAAACGGGACCCCACTTTGAGTTTATTAGACCGTGGTTTATGTAACTTCTTGCTATGACCTCGGACATTATTAGTGCTGGGGGGAGCAAAAAGATAAGACATATTAACACTCAAATCATAATTAAAGATACGAAATGCCAGTATAAGGTCACCTCGTGTCCTACGATACGACAAGGGGAAAAGATTTAGGCGTTTTAAACGCTCATCGTAAGGGAGTCTAGAAAGACCCTTCACTAATTTCGTTCCCACACGCTGGACACGCTCAAGGGAGTTAGTATCCTTTACCAGACACGGGCTAGCTGCTTGGATACAGTACTCTAAATGTGGTCTAACATATATGGGATATAAGATTCGAAATGTTTCCTCGTCAAAAGATTTGAACGCTCGGCGAAGTGACCATAACGCACGAAAACCTTTGACAGTGGCTGCTTTGCAATGCGTAGTTGTTTTTAAATCATGACTTAATATTACTCCTAAGTCCTTATGCTCTTGAACGCATGGAAGAGGTTTACCTTCAATAGTGTAACGGTAACTATTACCGTGACCGATGTGCATTAGTACACTCTTCCTAGCATTGATTTCTAAGCCCCAACCTCGAGCCCATCTAACTAAATCGTCTAAGTCAGCTTGAAGATCCACATGATCAGCCGCACTTTTTATTGTTCTCCAGATTTTTACGTCATCCGCAAACAATAATGTCGACGACCTAAGTAACAGCGGTAACTCATTAACGTAGAGAAGGAAGAGCAGTGGGCCGAAGATGGTGCCTTGGGGTACACCACTTTTGACCGGCTTCCAATCGGATAGCGTTCCGTTGACCCTTACTCTCTGTCTGCGGCCACATAAGAAGTTACCTATCTACTCATGTACAGTACCTATTATTCCGAAGCTCGTGAGCTTCTAAATAAGACCTACGTGTGAAACCTTGTCAAATACTTTGCTAAAATCTGTGAATATCACATCGACAGACAGACCGTTATCTAGGGCTGCTGTCCAATCCTCCCTCGCAATAAGCAAGTTAGTCAAGCATGAACGCTTGTTACGAAATCCGTGTTGCTCAGGAGCTAACAGATTGTGTAAATCTATGTGGCTTAGCAACCTAACCCGAATTATCTTTTCGAGTAACTTAACGACTATGCTAGTTAGACTGACAGGCCGGTAGTTAGATACTATCTGTCTCTGACCGTCCTTAAATATAGGACTGACTATAGCGTCCTTCCAATCTCTAGGGAGTTGAGCGAGTGAAAGGGACATGTTGAAGAGTGTCGCGAGCGGTTTTGAAATAATGTCCGCAAGAGATGACAGCAACCGTGGATGTAACCCGTCAGGGCCCGGTATCTTACCAGGTTTGAGGTTAGTTATCAACGGAAGGACAGTTTTCTTAGTCACCTGTACAGATTCAATGGTTGGTATCTCGGTGTGAGTGGAACATGTATTTGTTACAATAAACGTAGAGAAGACTTCGCTAAAATAGTTTGAAAAAATCTCAGCTTTTGCCCGATCTGATTCAGCCAGTAGTTCTGAATTTTCGTGTAACAGTAACGGGGGAATACCATCACTACGCTTCATTCGCCGTTTAACATACGAAAACAATCGCTTCGGACAAGTACGGCTATCATATACTAACTGTCGTTCGTAAGTGGTACACAACAAGATGGACACCGGATTCATAAAGTGGTTAATTCAGAGGTGGTAATATATAAGAGAAAAATTGAAATAAGCATATAGTACAGGAAGGAAGAATTAGTTCGTAGAAAGAAAGATATGGAGCGACCTTAATCTCTTAGTTTAAGGGAAGGTAGAGAGTGTATACACCGACGGAGAAGTAATTTTCAGACAAATTAGTCTTAAGAATACACTGCTTTAGTCTTATTCGTTGCATAGAAACACACAACGACTTACTCTTAGAGGTCACTTAGCGGCAACCTCAGACGGACTATACATATATAACGCAACCGTTGAACAATCCACTCTACTCAGTTTCAAACTTCAAATTTCTGTAGTAAGCAGAGAAGGCTTACAGCCTATGTTATAACTTTTCAAGTATGCTTCCGTGAGTGTCTAGCCTTCTCTTGAATGGGTACAGGTTGTAAGGAAGAAAAGTAGGGATATAAAAGGGAACTATGCCCCCGTAAAAGTAGTTAGAAAATCGAAAGCTGATCATAGCGACAGATCAGCTACTCTTCATAGAATCAAGGAGAGCGAGAGCTCTGAACCTAAAGCTCGTTTTGAGCATGACATTTTACTGATTAGGCAGCTGCTTAATCAACTCATGCCCCAAAATATGACCGGGGTCACTGTAAGATCCATTTGGAAGGTTTTATGTGTTTGTGAAAATCCCTCCATGTATATACTTGCACTTTATTCCTATTGATCTTCTTAGTTGTACATTGTTAACTTTTGGACTACATTTGAATTGTTAATCTTTGTATTTTATTATAGTTTTTGTTTTTACCACACCTTCACTAATTCCCCATGTTTCTTCCCGAACTGCACTTATGTTGTTTTACTTTATACTAAGTCTGAGCGGCAGCCATTTTGGTTGGTTCCTGCTTTTGATTGCTTGACCTGTGTTGACTGGAATTGTGCTTTTTGGTTGTGAATTGAAGCACTCTTCCAGAATTGAAAACACTCTGTGTTATAGAGCGACCAATTGTTACCTTTTGAACGAATTTGTACGTGATCTATCCAGACAGGATAGAATAACATTTATTTGTGGTGATTGTTTAGATTTGATCAATTAAACTATTATTGGTTGGATAGCTGTGTGCTTATATTTGTTTAGAACCGCTATCTTACCCAATTACCTTGTTTCGGTTTCAAACGAGCGAGGGCGCGTATCCAACTTATCCAGGCAGCTGTCCAGCAGTCCAAAGGTGGTTTGGATCATACAGTCACCTTGCTAAAGGTGTACAGACTAGGGAGTCTAGCGGACTCGAAACCAAATCATTCCAGACTGCTTAAAGTAGTATTCGGCTCTTCGAACAGACGTGATCTAATTTTACAGAATGGACACAAATTAAAGGGTTCAGGAGTCTTTATCCGAAAGGACCTACCGTTGGCAGACCGTGTTAAAAGACGGGAAGCCGAGAAAGAACTACAACTTAGGTTAAACGCTGGCGAAAAGGACCTGAAAATTGTAAATTTTCGGCTTGTAAGACTTCGACAGAGAATGATGCCGAAGCCACTCTGGGTGAAGCACGAAGGCACTTAAACAGGCTTCGGATCTGTTACACCAATGCACGAGGCTTGCTTAATAAGCGAAATGCAAGGGACAAGAGCTTCTGATTGGTTTGGTCTATCGCAGTCCAAGCTGTGAGGCAAATGAGATCCTGTTAAGCAGTCTCAATACTTGGTCCCAAAGTGGTCGATGTCTAACCCTAGAGGACTTCAATGCACCTATGGTAGACTGGGAAAATCTGCGAACTAAATCGTCGGAGAATTCTTTCGAGCAGGAACTAGTTGATGGGGTTATCACATGTGCTCTAGTGCAACATGTGAAAGAAGCGACAAGGTACGATCCGGACACTGAATCATCCTTATTAGATCTTATACTGATTCACTATGTGGATGATGTTGCGAACCTCCATCATATGCCGCCCCTAGGTAAAAGTGACCACGCAGTCTTAACTTTCGACTTCCATATAACTGCCAGTCACGAGGACGCGTCAGTCCAGTCCAGACCCAACGTCTGGAAGGCGAACATACCAGACACCATGCACTCAGCATCGTTAATAGATTGGACAATAGACCCAGAGTCCTCCATTGAAACGGCCTGGGACGCATTTCGAAATTCATACTTAAACGTTACCACACCTCACATCCCTTGGACTATACCAAAGGGGCCGAAAAACTCACCATCATGGTTCAGTAGGGAGGTCCGTATCCTTCTCCGTAAGAAAAGGAAAATGCGGAATAGATTTAGATTACTGGGGACTGATGAGTCAAAATCTCAGCATCGAAAGGCTCGGAATACTTGTGCCTCGACCCTCTGTAAGTCTAGAAAATTGTACGAAGAAAAGATTGTTAAGGAATCCATAGAATGTCCTAAACGCTTGTATTCCTATATAAACCAAAGGACAAGGAGAAAAGGAAATATTCCTGCTCTATGGGGAGACAGTTCTGCTTCATCATTAGTGGAGGACGTCTTTGGTAAGGCTCAAGTGTTCTCGAACTACTTTAGCAACGTATATACCATAGAAGCGCCCTTCCCGTCAGCGCATACGAATCCCCCACACATACACTGGATAGCGTAACCATTAAAGAACTCGATGTCTTTGGTCTGCTAAGTAAGCTTGACATAGGTTGTGCACAATTAATGCAACCTTTGACAGATTCACTTAAAGGAAAACCAAAAGAATTCAAACTGTCTTCTGACGCCATCGAAGCTATTAAACAGCTTAAAGATAAACTGGCTCAAGCAACTACGTTGATATATCCGAATTCTCTTTCCCCACTTGCTTTGATGGTGGATGCTTCAGATAAAGCAGTAGGCGGTACCCTTAACCAACTGGTTAAAAACGCCTGGAAACCAATTGCTTTCTTCTCGAAAAGACTCGCTCCAGCCGAAACAAGGTATTCTACCTTCGGGCGAGAACTTCTTGCAATCTACCTGACCATTAAACACTTCCGACACATGTTAGAAGGTAGGGAATTTATAGTCTTTACGGATCACAAACCACTGACGAATGCATTAAAAGCGAGAGCCGATAAATACTCACCTCGAGAAGTCCGACACCTTGACTATATATCACAGTTCACAAGCGATATCCGACATGTCAAAGGTCAGGACAATCAGGCGGCAGATGCTTTATCCAGACTAGAAATGAACGTGCTACAGCAGTCTACAGTAAACTTCGAGACGTTAAGACACGAACAAGAGCAGGACCTAGAATTACAAAACCTACTTAAAACAAACAATTCAAGTCTTAATTTAAAACAATTCCCATCACCTATCGATGGTATTCTAATTTATTGTGACACGACCAAGGCAATGCCGCGACCTTTCGTTCCCAAAAATATGCGAAAGTTGATATATAATAACTTTCATTCTTTGTCTCATCCTGGCGCGAAAGCTTCAACAAAACTAATCAATGCCAGATATATATGGCCGAATTTACAGAAGGATGTACACAAATGGGTTAGAGAGTGTTCAGCATGTCAACAATCAAAGATTAATCGTCACACAAATTCACCCATAGGTGTTTTCTCGCAACCAGATGCACGTTTTGCCCATGTGCATATCGACTTGGTAGGTCCTTTACCACGTTCAAACGGTTTTAATTATCTTTTTACATGCATAGATCGATTTACCAGATTCCCTATAGCCATCCCGATAGCGGACATCACAGCGGAAACAGTAGCCAAAGTTTTCATGCAGAACTGGGTAACCATTTTTGGTACACCCATAACAATAACGACGGATAGAGGAGCGCAATTCGAATCCGAACTATTTAATAACTTGGCTAAACTTCTAGGCTCCAATAGGATACGCTGCACTGCATATCATCCTCAGGCTAATGGGATGGTAGAACGTTTTCACCGTCAGCTAAAAACCGCCCTTATATCTCACTCAAACCCCAATCAGTGGACAGAATTCCTACCGTTAGTTATGTTGGGAATACGAACATCTGTCAAAACTGACGCACAGTGTTCAGCTGCGGAACTGGTTTTCGGAACAACTCTGAGACTACCAGGTGAATTTATTAACCCTAATACTAACAGTCAAAAACTTAATTTAGAAAATTATGTAGATCAACTACGGGACCACATGTCTAAAATTAAGCCGATTAATACTCGTGAACAATCGCGCGCCGTATATATACCTAAAGACCTAAGCAATTGCACGCACGTCTGGATAAGATGTGACAAAATAAAAGCACCACTCAGTCCTCCATTTGAAGGTCCTTTCAAAGTCGTCTCAAGAAAATCTAAATATTTCGTGATAGAAAAACATGGAAACATCGACACAGTAAGTATTGATAGGCTAAAGCCGGCTTATCTAGATCATGAACCACCATACGTGTTGTTAGATCGTTTAACTGACAAATCCATTACGGAATCGAAATGTAAAGATAATAAATCTTTACAAATGACTAAAACGGTTCGCTGGGCACATCCAATTAGTCAGTCAAGGATGTTGACAGTTTCGGCTGCAGGATAAAATCTAACCACGCAGCTAATCACACCCTGCATCTACTTAAAAATAATTTTTTTCCTCATTCCGCCTCACCGACAACTCCCCAGACCTTTTACCTTTGATATATAAGTGTTATGTTAATAATTTTTTTTAAAATACTGGACACATAAGCTAGGTATTCCGAAACGATGGCTGAGGATTTTAATCAAACTCATACAACTAACACTGGCAAATACAACGAATTCAAAAAGCAACCCAGGCGAGTTTTATAATTTCTTTTTCTGGTTAATTAACTATGTTGGCTGTACTTCTTATATATCTATATACATTTTTCACGTAGACTGGCTATACATATATACCATATGAACTACTTCTAAAAGTTTTCGGTTGAGGATATGTTTAGTAGCTTGATACGATTAATACTACTATTAATAAGTAGTTTTCTAGACAAAACATTTTGGATTAAACCGTGGTCAAGTACTTATTAAGGTTCTCATCATTTTTTTTCCTATTTAGGAAACTTATGCAATAACTTAACCAGTTCTCCTTTAGCATGCTTTTTAGTGTGATCATATAACCCATCTTTATTGGCAACATTCAGATTTTTTTTAATTTCTGACATTTAAGAATCAATAACTGTGAAAATATAGTACAGTGCGTTACTGTAAGGTTACTATGTTAGCCGCATTGATTCCACATACCTAATTTTAAACAACTTATAAGGGAACTGTTTAGTAATCATAACATTGAACTGACGATATGAATATCACGGCTATGCTAGCATTAAACCAATTATTATAAGTGGCCCATACAAAGTCGTGGAACTTAACACTACCGTTATAAAAAAGACATTTTATGTCAATAACTGATATATATATACATATATAAAATGGAAAT